GAAGACCAAAGGGGTAGGAGGTTGTTGAGGTAGAATGGGGGGAGAGGAGATCAATAAGAATGAAAGTTGTTCAGTTTAACAAACCACCTGCTGCCCCTGGTAAAGTCTAAAGTTCCTTTGAGTTTGTGGTGCTGTCAACCCTTGTGACTGTGTCAAAACAGAGCCAGGGGATAAAACAATGCAAAAGTTCAACAGTAGAAAAAGTGAGAAGAGAAAACAGTATCACTATAGAAAGTAGTGACCCCCCCCCCTCACCCCGAGACAAATATGAGAAAGTAAAACAGTACAGAGCAAATAGATGTGAGCTGATGTCTCATAACTTTATAGACTTCAGAGCGCAGGTCTCTCAAAGACAAATGTGGTGGGAAAAAAGAAGTAACCCTAACTCCTAAACACACGCAGCACATAATTGAGTACTCACGATATATGCTCATCAAGGGGCAGCCTGAGGCATTTGATGTTTTGCTGTCTGGCCTTGGCAAACGTCACTGGCTCCTGTGTGGCTTTGTCATTGAAGGCTCCGACAATGTAGACTGTGTTGGGGTCAAATTCCCTCAGAACCTTCAGAAAAAGGACAGCAAAACCTTATTTTTAAAAAATGTAACAGAGAAGTTTTACAAGTCAATCAACAAAATTTAGACCATCTAGGAGGCGGGCTGCTTTGACCCTGCCGATCAGGGCCAACCTAGACCAAGAGGGAAGTGATGTCTCAGAAGACAGAAAATGGAGAAACGCAATAAAAGAATTTCATTGCACAGGAATCAACAAACGTTTTCTGTACCGGTATGTGCAAGGTAAAGCACCTAACTACAACACCTCAGACACCAGTAGGCAAATTGTGTGCTAAACAACAATGCAAACTGCCTGAAGTGGCGTCGGTGGCCTAGTGGTTAGGCTCTCGGACTCGCAACCGTAAAGTCGTGGGTTCGAATCCTGTCAGGGGCCCGACGTTGTGTCCTTGGGAAAGGCACTTTACACGAATGTTCCTCACTTTACCCAGGTGGGAATGGGTACCCGGCTATAGACAGCGAAAGGTCTTGTCAGTTTGTTAGTGTTTGAATTGTTAATCAGCTGCTTGCACTGTATGCTTCACGGGAAGCTGAGAATGTTTCGGAGTGTTCTATGGTCTGCTGGGGTAATAATATAGTGTAAAGCGCATAGAGCCTGCTGTTGAGCGGGGATACGCGCTATAAAAATGCTATCTATTATTGTTATTATTATTATTATTAAACCCACAACGACAATAACAATGAGCGTTCAGTTGGGTAAAGTGTAACTCAGCTAACTTCGTAGGATTTTTGTATATAATGTACACATTTGAAGAATATGAAAGTTTTTTTCCTATGAATAAGTCTGCAGTGAAAACAAATAATGTAAAAAATACCAAAAAAACATGACTACTTCTAAGCAGATGAAGCCAATCGTGTTTCTACTTTATCTCACAAACTGAACTATGGCTGGTCCTAAACAATGAAATGGGCAATGCAGACCCACTCAGGTTAAACATCTCTTTTCGTTCTCTTAGAGTAAGTTGGAGTTGGCTTAATAAAAGTGATCATTGATCATGTTCTAAGTCAAAATAAGATAAACTATTGATCCACTAATGATTTCAACCACTGTTGTTCATCCCTATCACCTGTCACCAATTCTGTCACATGTTTCATTTTCGCCCAAACAGAAATTGGAAGACATCAATTTCAGCCTACACCTGTGATCAGCACAGAGTTCTACAGTAAACTGAGAAGCTTTAGTCTTACGACTTTGTCTTCCAAGTGCAAAATCATAAATTTCATTAGACACAAGAATTAATCACATTTCCTCTAGACTTTTCAGAAACTCTTTCAATCTAAACAAAAGTGACATTTCAAAGCATTCAGGGCATATTGTCAAATACTAGTAATATGTGAGACATCGTGGTGAAATCGGGCACTCATTAAAATCATAAAATCAAAGGAACCAGCATTTTTCTGACTGTTGGTAATTAAAAAGAAAAATTTCTTTGTATGGATCAACATCAGTTTCGTCCATCTACAGACACATTTCTGTGTGGATTTTACTGCAAAACGTTGATCAAAGAAAAACTGTATATTTGCAATTTTCAAGGACACTCAAACTTTGGAAGCCATCAAACTTTGGTGGCAATTTTCTCACTACTTTTACCTCTCACACAAGGTGAACCCCACCTTTTTTAGCCAAATATCTCAATTTTTACGACAGATGGATATTTTTATCTTCAAAAGCAAGATAACTAAACACACTCTTAGATGATACCAATAACTCCACATCCCCCAAAAATGATGAGCAGCTGATTGCACCATGTAAAGACACATTATATAAGTATGGAAAGGATTTTGACTAAGAAATAAAACAAAATTCAACTCTACTTCTGAGTATAAAGAAGGTCCTCTATATATAACAGTCAAATAAGACTACAGTTACTGTCCCAGGGTTACTCGACTGTAAAACATCACAAAAAGTATTGTAAATCAGAGCAATGTCATCATTCACAAAGCATAGGAGAGCTTTTGTCAACAAGATAAAACTGTACATTCCCAGAATTTAAACAAATATATATTATTGTAAGCCAACTGTTCAAATGTATTAAGAATAAAATATAAACAAAAATGTTAGCTGCAGTGTCTTAATTTGAGGTATCAGTTGTAAGTGCTCAAAAGATATTTTGTTGGAATTCAACAATTCAACTTCTAAATGTAAAAAAAAAAAAAAAAAAAAAAAAAAAAAAAAAAAAAGCAAGAAAAGAAACACAAGTTATAAACAATTCTAAAAAGAATAAAAGTTTTTTTCCTCTCCTGTACAAAAAAAAAATTGCTTCTTCGGCTTAGAAGAGTTAAACAGTTTTCTGCCAACATAACATAACTTTTGCAGATTCTCACCTGTCTGCCGTTGGGTGACAAATACACCAGCTCTTGTTTCTTGAACAGATCAAGATACGAATTTTCTGTCACTGTGGCAAGGAAGTCTTGGTTGTCTTGGAACAAAATTTGCATCATTCTGAATAAAAAAATTATAGAAATAGAAATGTAACAACTCCTATTCCCACAAATATTAAATTTCTATAAGAAACAATACATGTAAGGCACAAACATACTCTTTTCTTTTCAGTATTTTCACAAAGAAACCCACAAGGTACAAGTATAAGGTATAAGGCTACTGTCGGAATAAAACCAATATGTATTGCTGTTTCATATACTCATACATGCATCTAAGGTCTTGTGACAAATTCCTCAATGTGGTTGAATGATGCATCTGATGTGATTTGTACATTATTGTCAGCTTTACTTTTCTTTTCATACTGAATTTTAATGAGAGTAACGTATAATATATTAATTTCTATGTATACCTGTTTGTGTTTTTTTTGGACCTGTACCGCCAAGAAAAATTTCCCTCTGGGACATTAATGTATTATCTTATCTCATCTTAAAACGGAAGGTTCTGTAGGTATTGAGTGGTAGCCCACTGTTGGTGGAACAGTAGGCTTTTATTTTGGCACAGCCAAATCAAGTAATTTAGTAAAGAGAAGTCCTACATTGACACAGAAATGAAAATTCAGAGCAAGGAAATAGCTAGAAGGACAAATGGGAACAATAGAGGGAAGGAAAAAAAGTAGGACCTACAAGTGGCACCCCCCAACCACCCATACAAACCAAAAGCCCTTGGGTGAAAAATGTAATAGTCAAAGTAGACTACATGCCACAATACCTGTAAATTGAATTGGTTTCTGAACAGGAAGTGAAGTGAAGGTGGAAAGGTTCACCGTCATCAAGGCGATTGAATGCGTACAGGTCAAGAAGTTGATGCGCTGTGTTCCGGATCTCCTGTGGCCTCATGTGTTTCTCAAAGTCCATGTCAATGACCAACGGCACGCCGTACTGCATGGCAGAGGCCAGCCTGTAGTTGTTCCATCTGAAAAAAAAATAAAAAATGTTGAAATGGTATTATAGGTTTAACATTGTCAGGTTATTTAGGAATTTAAGAGGCGGGACCTCTGAGTTAAGAAAGGACAGAGCCAAATAGGAAATTTGTGTAAAGTGCCTTTCCCAAAGACACAACGTCGGAGCGAGTGAACGCTCAAACCCCAGAATTCGCAATCTCATGATTACGGGTCCAGTAGCCTAACCACAAGGCCACTGACGCAACCTGAACAAAACAGACATTAGTAAGTTAATATCATTCAAAACAACGTGGGGTTAAAAAAACCCCCAAACATCTCTGCTTCTGATCTGCAAAATGTGAGAAGTTACCTTTCTAACTTGAAAGTACAAAATTTTATTTCACTTGCAAAAAAAATAATTACAATCCCACTCTTAAAAGAAAATTGTTTTTCAAGAACACAAACTCAACGAGGAATGATGGTTATTTTGATGCCGTAATATTTGCCCCAAATTTTTAAATCAAACTATGAAGCCCTTGCCACTCACGCGAAGCTCGTACACAAACACTGAATAGTCAATAGTCAAACTAATCACGCCGTCATAGAGGTCTAAAGTCAATGTCCTTTGAGGTGCACTAGAGAAGAAATAATAATAATTTAAAAAAAAGGAAAAAGTCAAGGTGCCTAAAATATTCCCCCTGCCCCCCTCTCCATAGAAACAGCTAGCTGTGCCTTTTTTTGCGTGCTGCTCGACGAGTGTGCCCTCTGAGCATGCCTAGGTCCTAGACCTAGCTAGGCTTGTGTGGAGCGGGTGAAAGGTAGGGTTGTGCATCACACGATCAACCGCCCCAACCCTCTTCACAAAGGAATGCGTGCTTGTTGGGAGAAGCAGGGTAGGGCTGCATTGTCTTGTCATTGTATTGTTGATTACTGTTGCGATAGGCTTATCTTATAAAATTGTTTATGTTTGAAAAATTTCAAAAGGCACCGTTCAATTGGTGCAGACTAAAAGCCGCTCACACTGACCCACGCAATTAAACTGCCTTGGTAATGGAAGGCTCATTACCGGTCGAACTCGAAAGCATTGCTCATCGTGCTTCTCATTCTCAGTCTGTCAATTTCAAATTCTTTCAAATTTCAAATTCAAGTAAATAGGCATAGATCTCACCTGGATCTGTCTGATCTAGGACAATGGTAGAAAAAATAAAAAATCTTTGTTCAGACTTAATTTTTGCTGCTCCCCTTGATTCTCTGACACAGCCATTGCCATACCACTGTTCACATATTCCTTGAACTACGGATCCCTTGAACTAATGAGGCTGGTCCTGATGAATTTGAGCTATCCGTGTTATACTGTACAGTCCAAGCTGGCTTTATGCACGGTCATCGGGAGAAAGCTTAAGCGTGCTTAATGCCGAAGCGTGCTTGAGTGCGAAGTAGACATAATCCAGAGATTTTCATGTAGAAAATTTCCTGTGCTATTTCCCCTTGTTTGTAAGTAGGCCTGTAGTGGTTCCGCAAAACTGTGTGGAGGGTCAAAGGTGAGATTGCAGCCAGCCTCCCTTTCTCGTCTCCCCGACTCTCTTTGTATTTTTTTTTGTCAGTTTGTAGCTTTGCCCTAGGCTAGATCCTATGTTCACGTGCTCGGCTGTGTGCATCTCTCTGCCTTCCTCTCTGCCCGTGTGAGTGTGTCTCCATCACTGGCGTTCTTTCACTTTGTGTTTCTCTTAACACACTCCACTGCTGCATTGTAGACTGTGTTCGAACTTCGATGGGTCATCTTGAAAGTATTGGCTATCTTGTAAATGAACCGTGCCTGAAGCCGAAGTTACCGTGCTTAAAGGCATGTGATTTATATAGCAAAAATTCGGTAAGAGCCGTTTAGCGTGCTTGAGTCCGAAATGTGCTTTATGCCGGCGTGCTTAAAGCCGGCACGGACTGTATTATTAATATCATCATTATTTTATGCACATAATTTTGAAGGCTCTTCCGACACAGAGCCAGGCTGAGAGGAGATACTGGTGATGTTGAGCTGTTGAGTGTAGTGAGTCAGGACCGCAAAATAAGCATATTTCACCAGAAACAGATTAGGCTACAGTGACAAATCAGCAAATTTGAAAATACTAAGAAGGAGAGGAACATACTAGGGAACATAACAACCACTGAAAGAAGAGGAATATTCTTCTCTTTTTTTTGGTACTGTGTGGATTTCAAAATTATAGTAGATTTTAATTTTTCTTTTTCATAAAGCTTCAAATTCAAAGAAAAATACTACCAGACTAAAACAAACACAAAATGTATTTCACTAACCTCTTCATAGTGCTTTCATAAATGCGCATGAAAATTTTTCCGTGCTCGTACGAATTCATTGGCCTAACAGTTCTGTTTTGCTTTTTCTCTTCTCTTTTTTTAATAAAATTTTCCTTTAGGACCTTTCGTCTTTGCAGGAAAAGGTAATACTTCAGCCGTTGGTTTTTCGACTTGCAGCCCATTGCCTCAAGCCAGTTCTCACTGGTCATTTCCTCCAGACTCTGGGGAAATAAATGAATGATGGGATTAGGATTCCTTTTGAGATTTAAAAAAAAAATGAAACTACAAAATGAACAAAATCAAAGCAGAATTCAAAGAGACAAAAAGACTCAGTATATATTACGCAATCGTCATGAGAAAAAAAAAATTCATATTAACATCAAAATTATTTACAAATTTAATAGGTAGGGAAGCATCTTTTGTGACGGAGCCAAAACAATAAAAGTGAAAGACACAATTGGTAAATAAAAAAGACAAACGTCATAAGCAGTCGACTCTACTTCCATCCTTTTTCAATGAAATTTCTATATTTTCTAACATCACATCATGTATGATTTCAGCCTATGGGTTAAAAAATTACTAGATATCAAAATTGCATTTCAACATTGCAAAAGCAATCCTTAAAATAAGTAGAACAAGCAGACCACATACATTAGAATTCACCAACCACCCATGACCGGAAAGAACAACACCCAGAGGCAAAGAAAAGGGGGAGAACTTAGCAAGGGGCTATGTCAGGAAGAACAGAGATGCTGACCACTTTTCATGCTAAAGGTACAGATTTGTTTAGAAATAACTGTTTTGTTAGGAACTTTTAGTGTTCAAAAGCTAAAACCAACCAGGAAAAAAGTTGATGGGGGGGGGGGGGGGGGGAGTTTCCGGCTATCTGACAGAATAATAAAAATATATATTTTTTACATTATCATAGTTTGTTTCATAACATGCAGTTCACTTATTTTCCTTTTTTTAGTCCTGTTTTTTTTCTTCTTCTCTGCTTAAGTTGTTTAATTTAAATAAAATTTCTTTCTCTTATGGCTTGAGCCTGTCATAGTCTGAAAAAAAAAATGTGGGAAAATGAAACTGACGGATAAGTTAACTAACTAGGTGGCATTTCAATGTCTATTCAACTATTTATCCCCTAGATTCTATGAAAAGACAACAGGATTCTGAGATGAGCTAAAAAAATCCCCAAAACAAAAAAACAACAAAAAACTATTGTACTTTTTCCTTCTCAGTAATTAAAATGTCAAATAAACTTTTCAACTTACTGGAATATGGTACCCCTCAGAGTACAGGAAGTTGTGCTCTAGCTGTATCACTTTGAGAGACTTTGCGTCGGCTTCACTCAAGTTTGCAACAGCGGCATCACATTTTGCAGCTACAGCTTCTTTAATCTTTGAGACAAGTTGTACATTTTGCCCAGAGGTTTTCCGTTCCAGCCTCAGTTCTTCCCTCAGACTGTCCAGGTCAATGTCTTCGGTAAATCTGGACACCACAGGCTTTTTTACACTACTCATCTGCCTCGGAGACATCAAGGATGTGCAAGCGGATAGAAGTTTGTGCGTGAACAAACCTGCACAGTTGGGAGCACTGCTATTGTGTTTAAAGATAACATGTCTGGACTTCTCTGGACTAGAAACAGAAACAAATGTTCTTGCATGGCAATGATGGGAGGCTATTAAAGTACATTGGTTCTGTGGAAAAAAGGAGTCTTTTTGTTGCCGTGTTGAATTAGCAATTCGTCCAAATGCTCTGCACACAGAGCACTGGAGATACTGTCTGATATGATGACATAGCTTTGAGTTTCGAAGGAGAGAGTGATGGAGCAGTCCTGGGACACGACTCTGGTTTGCAAGGACTGTAGTCATTTTCCTACGGTCTTGAAAGCACCACAACCTGAAAAATTGACTATAAAGGGAAGAAAAAATTTCCATTAATGAAACATTAGTATAAGATCAAATATGAAAACACGTCTATCATTTATTTGATTAAAGGCACAAATAATGTAAATTTTTCAGTTTCAAAGGACTCTCAAGCATTGGAAGATACAGTATAACACGGAAAACTCAAATTCGTCAGTACCAGCCTCGGCAAATAGAGAGGTCCGTAGTTCGAGGGATAAGTGAACAGTGTTATGGTATCGGCTGTGTCAGAAAGGGAAGCAAGAAAGATTGGGTTGGTACAGAGATTGTTCTTTTTTCAGCCATAGATCAGATTATGCCTATTGACTTGAATTTGAAATTTGAGAGAATCTGATATTGACAGATTGAGAATGAGAAACACAATGAGCAACGTTTTCGAGTTCGATCGGTAATGAGCTTACCGGTACCAAGACAATTTAATTGCACAAGTCACTGCGAGCGGTCTTTCGAATAAGTCTGCACCAGTCGAATGGTACCTTTTCAAAATTTTCCAAACATATATTTGACAAGATAAGCATATATATATATATATATCACAGTATTCAACAACACGATGACGAAACAATGCATCCCTATCCAACCAAGTGCGCAGTCCTTCGCAAAGAGGTGTCGGGCAGCCGATCGTATGATGCACAACCCCTCCCCTCGCCCGCTCCCCATGCAAGCCTAACTAGGTGTAGGATCTAGGCACACGTGTCGAGCAGCGAACTAAAAATAGAACAGCTAGCTGCTTTTGTGGAGAAGGAGGGGGTGGTATTTTACCTCCTTGCCTTTTTCCGATTATTATTATTATTTTGTCTCAAGTGCATAATTAGTAAGTTAGACTAATCTGTGTTTTTGTTCGAGCTAAGTGTAATTTTTTGGTGCTTTTTCAGTAGTTCCCACCCCCCTTATTTGAGCCTAGATCTACGTCTAAATCAATACCTTTGAAGCACGGCGAGCTAAGATATCAAACCTAACAACTGCAAAACATCAAATTATGGTAAAATTCAGGGGCATGCCCCCCTGAAACCCCCCACCATATTTTTATTAGGCCGGGGGGCAAGCCACCCCACTACTCTTGGGGCCAAAACCAGCGAATAACAATGGAGGGGTGGGAACTGCCGAAAAAGCGCCAATTTTCTTACAAAGATAAAAAGGAATAAAAAAACCCGGACCGCAGGCACTGCTCGACGAATGCTTGATTTCGAGCAATCTGTGTTCTAGTTTTATATAGGCCTATTGTATCAAGTTTTGGTGGTCATTATCTCGCTTTGGGCCTATATTACCTCCGAACTTAGAGAAGATGGGTATTTCTACTTTTACCAAAAGATAGAATTGTATGAACAAAGGTTAACTTTCAAGATGACACCAATAGGGCCAACTCGTAACTCCACATAGATTCTAGATCTAGATTAGATTCTAAGCCCAAAAAATTGATGAGCTCCTGACTCCACTGCATCGTGTCAATCATTGTCACACACACCACACACACACATAAAAAAACAAAAATAAAATCTAGATCTAGAATCTAGACATCATGATCAACATACAAAATTATGGCCATGGGTATGAGTTAAGAATAATAATACGGGGTGCCCTCTACTGCTGGGATCGGCCGATCAGGCCGATCGCCCGACTCGATCGCCTCAAAAACAAACGTGTTTGTTTTCAGTAATTCAGTTTCAGGCGATCGAGTTGGGCGATCGTCCCGATCCAGCCGTAGTGGGCACCCCGTATAAGACTTACTGAGTAGACTAGATCTACTAGACCTAGAATCTAGAGCGATTGTTAAGATTCCCGCGCTCAATTCCGATGTGCGTTTTTCATACCCTCAGGCATTCGCTTTGGTCCCTAACCCTCATCGGAATTAAACACGGGAATCTTAACAATCGCCAGATCTAGACCTATACTCTAGATCTAGATATTCGAGATCTAGATATATCTAGATCTAGATCTAAATCTAGATCTACTAGATCTAGATTTATCTATGACTTTCTAAGGCAGACTTAGAACTAGATATAGTCAAGTTAAAAGTTAGAGTTTGATCATGTTTGTTGTGTGTATGATGTCTGTGAGAACGAGAGAAAGAGTAAGAGAAAAGGAAGAGAGAAGAGTGTGTGTGTGTGTGTGTTGTTTGTTTAGTATAGGGTTTTACGGCGCTCGCAACTGCATAAGGTCATATGAGCGTGCGGGACACACCTAATACTTTTTCGTTGGTAGGAAATTTTGAATTTTGCCCGCGTGGCGGCCGAAGCCTACTCTTATCGATTTTAGACCACCAAGGGATCTTTAACGTGCGCAATTTGCACATGGGCCCTCCGAGATTTTTCGCCCTTGTCCGATAAGGCTAGAGGTGTAGATCTTTCCTACCAGAAGATCAGGGGTGTGGCAGAAAGACAGCAGTTAGGAGGAGCCAAGGAGTAGCAGTAGAAAGGCTGCAGAAAGAGTCAGGAGCCCAGAGGAGGGGGCAAAGGAGGTGAGGGGGTGGGGGCAGAAAGTGGAAATGAAAGCAGACAACAGAACATTGTTAGAGATCAGGAAAGGATGTGAAAGGAGACAATTATTTTAGAGAAGAAAATTTTTTGGTCGCTACCCGAATCGAACCCGGGACCTTTGAATGAGAGGCCAACATACCTGAGGCTATGAAAAACGCACATCGGAATTAAACGCGGAAATCTTGACAATCGCCAGAGAGAGAGAGAGAGAGAGAGAGAGAGAGAGAGAGAGAGAGAGAGAGAGAGAGAGAGAGAGAGAGAGAGAGGGAGAAAACAGACAATCAGAGAGAAACAGACAGAGAGACAGACAGCAGACAGTACTGACTGAGTTTGAGACTGAGACACGACAGTGGTCAGCGGTGACAGTTTCATTTCTCTTATTCAAGACATCAAGGCTTCACAAAACCGCTACCCACAAAACAACCTGAAGTAGAAAAGGATCACTAAATACTACTTTGACTTTGACTTTTAACGACGACCTCAATCAACACCCAATTCTGGACGTTTCAGGTGCACCCTATGGGCGCAGCCATATTGCTCCAAATAGAACTGTGTATATTTTGCAGCAATATTTTTTTGGTTTATTTCCCCTTTCAAATTTTCTTTGACGTCAAAATACATTTTCACATCATGAAAACAAATTGAGTTTTAAAAATCCCCAATCGGTGTTTATTATAATCTAGATTTTGAAAGGTTGTTTTCATTGAAAAGGTACGACATAAACAAAAACTAATACTGCTTTTTGATACCTGATTATGACACGCCCCTCCAAGTCACAAGTTGATTCTGGGAAATATGAGAACGTTTAGAAACTGAAGTGAAATTAACAGCTCAGAGGAACATGGTTTTATCGGGATTTTAGAAGGTTTTGGTTTAATATTCAGTTTGGTACAGGGAATATTTCAGCATGGCAAATGTTTTTGAGCAGAAAAAATCAACAAAAGTGACGTTGGATGATACAACGGCGCTATCGTGCTCCATTGAAACGGCACAGAAGAAGGCAGATCATATCGTGAGTGACCTTTCCTTTATTATCACACTTTGGTTTGTGGTACAGTTGTACGTCGATTTTCCTGATGGTTGATTAGTTCTGCATTTTCATACGTTGTAGGATTTTTAAAGAATATTTCTCTTAATTTAGGGAATGGTAGTCGAAGATCTTATCCGTTGATGTTGGTATGACTAAATTATCACACCCCTAGAAGAATCTCAGGCCATTATTTGCCATGTCAAGTTTTGTGAAGTTACACATTATAATCATAATTCAATCGAACCTGTGTAAGACAGCCACCCATTATCAAGGAGAAACGTGGATGTATAAGACAGGTGTCCATCTTAGGCAGGACTGTCAATCAAAATGAAGAAAACAAACCATTTCTTTCTGAGGTCCCAACTGGAGGTGGCGGCATTGTTGTTGTTGTTGTTATTGTTGTTGTTGTTTTCGCTGGTTATTTTTTCTTTTTTTTCTTTTGTTGCTACTTTTGTGCAAGGATGACGATGTAAAAAAATGTGTCAGACAAGGAGGACCGAGTGCTATGGTACAACTAACACGGGTCGCTACCACTAGGAAAACGAGTGATGCTTGTTCTATCTCAAGTTCATGTTGACGTCCATTGTTACTTTGTCACAGACTGGGTAAACAGTGACCACTCATCTCACTTACGATTTGTGTATGATTTGTGGGCGGGGCTTATGGGTCATGAGGGATCACACGCTTCCCTCACCAGCAGCTGAAAATTTGTTACCTCTATTGGTCAACAGTGGGAGGGGCCTACTCAACATGATCTGTTGGAGGGACTACCTAACAACATCGACAGGTGATTGGATTATGATGGCTCGCCCACAAAATCAGGGGTCAATGCTCAATTTATGACAATGTAATTGAGTCACTAAGGCAGTCGTCCAAGACAGGGGTTAAATTTCTTGGTGTGAAAGGGGTTGTGTGTTAAAATATCGTGGCCACGGCCGCGTTGGACAGGTGCCCATTTTACACAGGTTAAATTATGTAGAAAAAACGCAAGGGGGGAAATGGAAAGTGGCCGTTTGTACAGGTGGCCGTCTTATAGAGGTAGCCGTCAGGGCAGGTTCGACTGCATATTGAATATTTTTTTTCCTTTAGGCCATAGCCTACCAGGCTCTTGTTTAGAGTAAATTAGGTCAGTGAATGTGTGAAATAATCTGTCTAATTCTAAATTGTGTATAGTACAGTAAAGAAATTCAGAGTCCCATGAGCCATCACTTACTAGCTTATTAGGCCAACTGAACTATTGTTAACCTAACCACCACCTCACTTTGTCTGTCTTTATATTCCTAATCCTGTATATATATATCAAAGATTGTATTTTTAAAAGTGGGCGGGCCAGCTTAAAAGAAAGCATTGTCATTTGCAATATATAGAAAAACTCTTTAATCGGGTATGTATTTTGATTCCACCTGTACTTCAATTTGACTACACTCTACTATTGAAACACAATACATGACATTCTCAATCTGTTCGTTTACCATGTCTCACTGTAGGCTGCTCAGTACAACAGAGGCTCTGAATTTAGGGATAAAAATCCAGAAATTTAAAGACTTGAAATTGTCTGCCTTTTGCCTGACTTGAGGCCAATCAGGGAAAAGTTGTTACACTTTAATTATAATCGGTCTTGATACGAGAATATTATTAGACAAAAGGATATCTGCAAATTTTGAATCTCTGCGCACATGTTTCCATAGGGTCGGAAAAGATCAGGATTTTTTATCATAGCCTATTCGCGCTATTAAGAAAAGAAATCACATTATATGTTGTTATTTATATTAATAAAGTTACTTCATTCTTCTTCATAGTTGACATTGTTTATTTGGAGACAAATCAACTTTTTAAGAAACATCACAGAGTACAAAAAATGTATGTCCATCATTCAGCAAATTTTTTCTTTGATCCATCTACCAGCTGAACATTTTCATTTATTATGTTATATAGACTTTTCAGAGCAAGCCTGATTTTGGTAGACAAGGAATTCTTGAATGTGGTACAGTGGAGAGTTTGCCGTGGTGCGAGAACACTTTAAAAAAATACCAGTCTTTCAAAAAAATGTTTTTTTAGATAGTGTAAATGTTTTTATGCCCCCATTGACACAGTTTAGATCATTCAGGAGATGGGCTTCTACCCCTGCCTTTTAGGGCCTAACCTTGGCTGAGAGGGATACAATTTCCCAGTAGAAAGGCAGAGATACAGATTTCTCCACTCAGGACTCGAAATCAGGTAGCCTACTTGCAGCAGCAAAGGGCCTAATCTCTACACTACATGCCAGTCCAGTCTGAGTCCGGTAATAAATAATCGAGGCACCGTTTGTGACGTACCCACTCCGACCAGTGCCATGAGTAGACTTGAAAGCTTAATCTTGTGTGATAATGTTTGGTTCAGTTCGGTTGATGACAGGGCAGGCAGTTTTGACGAGTGACTCAGCAAAGTGTATGACATCATGTGTGAGACAGTGTGTGTGTGAATGGGTGTGTGTGTGTGTGATATGCTGTGTGTGTGTGTGTGTGTGTGTGTGTGTGTGTGTGTGTGTGTGTGTGTGTGAACCATCAAACTAAAGTGCCAGTATATGGAAAATTAAGATATATCTTAGCCTACTATATAGCCCACTTGCATTTCAGCTCAGTATTGCCGTAAAACTTCCTTGTTATTTGATGTATGGGGGATCAAATCTTTATCTAAAACTTAACTGTGTGTTGAAAAAGGTCAAAGGCAGTCTCAAGCTTGAAACCACCATTACTCAGAAAAGGAAATGCAAAGTATTGTGTTTTTCCATATAATTCTATATTCTGCACCACCTGGACAAGTTACTGGCTTGTAAACGAATTGATTTTTCTAACTTTGCTATAGTACTGTGGTTGGTTACAAACTTGAATGGTGGATGGTTGGCGGGTGCTCTGGTGTGGTTTGCTTCTTGTTTCCTATCAAGCATCTATCGTCTTTATCTCCCCTCCTTTTTTTTTTTAGTGTTTGTTACTCTCTTGTAACACCTCTATTTTCAGCACTTATATGTGTTGCAGGTGCCGTAAAGCTCTTGCTAAAACTAAACTTGAATGATATTTGAAATTGAATGTGAACCCAGTTTACTACAGTTTAGGTCCAAACTTTTCTCTTCCATTCTACTGCACATTTCCTGTCAGAACAGTGTCCTTATGCAGGGGCCAAAAACGTTTTCTCCAAAATTGATACACTGTGTTTGATATGATGTTTACATTGATAAAACCCAGACTGAAGTGAAACTCTTTATTAAAAATTAAAGTGCAAAATGTACAGAGGAATGTTTTGTTTATCTTGATTTTCTCTCATTAAATATTTTCTACAGGAATATATCATTCGAGTTCAGCGTGGACCTTTGAAAGACAACTCGTGGCAGATCACTAAGCGATACAGTGATTTCGAGAAACTTGATGCTCAACTTAAATCTTCAAACGTTGATCTTCCCCTTCCTCCAAAAAAAGTGTTCGGAAACTTTGACAGAGAATTTATAGCCGAAAGACAAAATGGCTTACAGGTAAGATAAAAAGCTGTCTATTCATGCCAATTATTTCAGAGAATAGCTTATTATGGATGCTCAAAAGGAAATGTTCTTTGCCATTATGTATCAAGTGTTGTCAGACAAAATGCGGTGATGCTTCAGATTGACTATACTATGATTTCCATTCTCAAAAGTTGGGCTTGACTGAATTTCCTCTTTTTCTACCACCCTTCGCAAACTGCAAAAATGGAGTACTTTTATGAATGCAAACTTTTTCAATTAAGTAATGGTCAAACATGTTTTATTTATTTAAGAGAAAGTCAGCAGAAGTTCATGGCTTTATAAAATTTAATGCCAATTGTTATGTATAATTCTTTGCTCATTTTTAATTTTTTTTTGTTTGTTTGTATAAAAATGTTCTGTATTCTGCAAGGATTATTTATGAACACCAAATCAATGAAATACTCAATGGATATTCAGTTTAAATCAATAAACTTGTAAGTGAAGGGGTCTTTAATACGGTCAAAATTGTCTAAGATGGTCACCGATTGCCAAGGAACAAGGAAGTAAATTGTTTTTTTAGACAAGTGCTTGGACAATGTAACTATATTTAAAATAACACAAATCGGGATTGAAAGTGGCCATTTGTACAGATTATTGTCTTGAACAGGTGGCCATTGGAGCAAGTTTGAACGTATGTTGACTCCATGAGTCTTCATGTATGTCATCAGGCACAGATTTTTAAAATAAATTATTTAGAACTTTTTCATGCTGATCACAAGAATGAAGATCTGACAGTGTTTCGGAGTTACTGTTTATCTTTATTTCTACATGAGTGATGCTTGCAGGCCTTATATTTTCACTTAACACTATGCCCCATCAGGAAGCCGATTGGCGATGCTAAGAAGCCATCCCTTTTCCCCCACGGGACGCCGATCGGTGATGGTGTGATATAGCATGTACGACACCTGTATCCTGGTCTGTGGGGATAAGTGTTACGCGCTCTGTGCTCTGCATGGGAGAAAAGTGTTAAATAAATCTCCCATGTTTCCTGAATATGGCATTCTCAGAGGAGTTTGAGAAGAGCTTAATTAAATATTGCTAGTTTTGTGTCTGATTATCTTCTCAATATGAAAATTTAAAAAACCACTCACTCTCTACTGCAGAAGTCAGAAAAACTTATAAATTGACTGAATCAAAGTTTTGATTGTTGTAACATATCTAAACCAAAAGAGAACAGCTCTCTCAAATAGCAATGCCATCTTTGTACCTGTAATTAGGGCTTTGTGCTGATTTTTTTTTAAATTGTGGGAATGATGGCAGTGAAGTGACGAGAACGAATCAAATGATTATCTTGTTTGGTTTTGAAGAATATTTCCTCTTTGCTTTCCCCAGAATTATTTGCAAGCCATCACTTGCATCCCTGTTGTTGCCAACAGCATAATGGTGAAAAAATTCTTAGATGCCAATAACTATTCATCAAACTTTCTCGGTAAGTGAAACTTTTGAAATCTTAGGAAATATTTCTTTCTTTTTAACTCTTGATATGAAAGCTATTCCTCCATTGTATGTAACAACTTGTATTATCCGAGTTTTCAGCATCAAGAACTTCCATATAACTCTGCTCATGTTTAATAACCTATTTACATTAAGTAAACACCAAACTGAGTAGAAATGAATGATCCAAGCAATAAATGTACAGGTTTTATTACAATATGTACATATGTTGATAACAAGGATTGACTGGGGGTTTGATAGATTTTTATTTTGACTGTAAGTGATCAAGTGATGCTGTGAGCCAGCTGAACTGGCGTGCTGTATACTAAGATTTAATGTATTTGCATAACAGATAGCCTTTAGATAGGGCATATTCCCTCTCAGCAGCAAACTCTATGCGCTTTACAATCTATATTATTACCCCAGCTGACCTGGTCGCATTCTGAAACAATCTCAACTTCCTGGGAAGCATATAGTGCAAGCTGCCATTTTATTGGCGCTAAAACACTTAACATACTGCCAAGAACGTTCATTGTCTATCCTCATCTCACTGTTAAATACAGTCAAATCTGCCCTAACGGCCACCTCTATAAGACGGCCACCTGTACAAACGGCCACTTTCCATTTCCTCCCTTTCTTTTTTTCTATATAATTTAATTGTGTAAAACGGGCACCTGTCCAACACGTCCGCGGCCACCATATTTTAACACACAACTCCTATCACACTAAGCAATAACACCTGTCTTAGACGGCCACCTTAGTGACTCCATTACGTTTTGTCATAAATTGTGCATTGGCCCCAAGCGTTGTAGGCGAGCCGTCATAATTCAATCACCTGTCGTTGTTGTTAGGTAGCCCCTCCAACTGATCATGTTGCTTAGGCTCCTCCCACTGTTGACCAATAGGTACCAATTTTCAGCTGCTGGTGAGGTAAGCGTGTGACCCCTCATAACTCATAAGCCCCGCCCAGAACTCATACACAAATCATAAGTGAGATGAGTGATCACTATTTACACAGTCTGTAACAAAGTAACAATGGACGTCAACATGATCTTGTGACAGAAGCGTCGCTCGTTCTCCGAGTGGTGGCGACTCATGTATTTGTTTTACCATAGCCACTCTGTCTTCCTCGCCTGATACATTTCGTTTCATTGTCACCCTTGCGCAAAATCAGCTACAACATAAAAATTACAAACAAAATACAAACAAATTACAACAACAACAACAAAAACAACAACAGCGCGGCTACTTTCGATTGGGACCTCAGATGGGAATGGTTTGTTTTCTTCATCTTGATCAGTCCTGCCTAAGACGGCCACCTGTCTTATACGGCCACTTTTCTCCTTGACAATGGGTGGTCGTCTTACACAGGTTTGACTGTACTTCCTTGGGTATGGATGGCAGCAATACCCTGATGACATTTTTACTTTTCTGTTTATAACTTTTTTTTTATACCAGCACTTTAAGACTTTCTGACAACATGCATCATCAAACAACAGTGACTGAGTTGTTAGGCTTTCGGGCTCATAACCAAAATGTCAGGGTTTAAACCCTGTCAGAGGTCTGACTCTGTGTTCTTGAGAAAAGCACTTTACATGAATTTTCCTTGCTTCACCCATGTGGGAATGGGTATCTGGCTATAGTTTGCGAAATATCTTATCAGTTTGTTAGCATTTGAAGACTTATTCGGCTGCTTGCATTGTATGCTTCTTGGGAGGCCAAGAATATTTCAGAGTGTTTTAGGGTCTACTGAGGCAATAACAGTTGTAAAGCACATAGAACATGCTGTAGAGCAAAGATATGCACTAAATGCAATAATTGTTATTGATTATTATTATTATTATGATGATGATGATGGATGAGTCCCACTGTGCTAGGCTTTGAGAGCATAAATGCCAAACCCAGATGCTGTTTATTGCTCTCTTTATGTTTTGCCAGACACATGAAAACTTCTATCTTTGCCCCCAGTGTCAATCTTTTTCTGAGATCTTACATGATGTTACCATATATGTCCATTCCAAGTAGTAAAGCATCAGATTGGTAATAAAAAAGTTGTCCAGTCTATTCATGCCTCTTTCAGTGAGGATTTTGTAGGCTTGGAATAGTTACTTTATTCTATTTTTCATGGCTCACCCATGTGAAAATGGACACTAAAGTTTTAGCAAGAGTTTTACCACATCTGTAGCACCACAATAGTTCATATAAGAACCAAGATTAGAAGTGTTGGTGTTATTAAAGAGTAACATATTTAAAAAATGAAGGATGAGAGATATGGATGATAGATTTTTGATAGGGAAGAAGGAGCAAAGCACACCAGAGCACCCGCTAACCAACCACAATGGATACTTTGCCTCCAGTAGGGACAGAGTATTATAATGAAAGTGGTTGTATATGTGTAGCAAGCTGCAACTGTATATAGTCAGCAAGGCATAACAATGTTCTCAGCCCAGACAACTAATTATTTCAGGAGAGAAAAAAAAAACGTTTCAATTTTCTAAAATTTCTTGCTTTTTGTTTCAATTTGTAGAATTTAAATTTTGACAAATTATTTTTGAACACATGCAACAAATACCACAGATTAAGAAACTGAAATTTTTTTTAAAAGTCAAAATTTGGGCATAGTACATCTCAACAGCTGGCTGGCTAAATGTCACCTGGGTGACTGAAATCTGAAATGGTACAAGACAGTTATTGTGGTGTCACGAGAGCCCCAGAGAGGCACTCAACTATATATCGTATATGTACTTTAACTTTGAACTCTGCTCTTCTGCTTTTCTTAACACAGACCTGCCAAGTAGATCTTCTCTGATAAAATCGGAGCCCACCAAGTAAAAAAAAAATTTTTTCAATAAAAAAATCTCAGTGGGATTTGCATAAAATCTTATTATATTCTTGAATTTTGTTTCCATTCGCCGTTCGCAACTTTTTGTAAGTGATGTGAAAATGCACTGGTTTATTTGCAATGTTCATGCATCTTTCTCGTATAGTGTGAAAATGCACAATTTTATTTGCGGGTTTTTGCAGTGCACTTTGTTTTGCCATGATCAGTTTGTGTGGTAAATGGAATCTACCGGGGTTTTGGAGATGTCCTTTGTTCTTTAACATACCATAGGGTTAGGGCCTGTTATTGACTGAAGTTATCTTTAGGTCTTTCCCAAAGGGGGATATTAACATGTTCTCGTGCACAGCACAGTAGAATTGTAAATGGGCTGATTTATCAATGTAATGCTCATACTGTGCTGCAACAAAATAAGGGGAACTGCTGCTTTTTTCCCCCTCATCCTTACTATGGTCATTTTTATTCTACTTCTTTTGTATGTTTGTCACTCTCATGTGAACTGCTATTTCTGGGGTGCCTTGATAGTCGAAGCAGACTTTGTGCTGTTGAGGCTAGAGAGATGAGCAGAGTAAGCCTGATTCCTCGTTTGGACTTCTGTGTTGACATCCACCCCTTGGCACTCATATGACCTCATGCAGTTGCGAGCGCCATAAAACCTAACTAAAACTAAACTAAGGGTTAGGGTCCAACTGATTGTTTTCACCTTTTAATTATGTATGTTGTTTAGGAATTTTGTTTTAAGATTATGTTTCATTTACTCTTGTCAGAGGTGTGAAGTGTGACATGTTCTCTTTTACGTGTATCAGACACACATTTTTTGTAATGCACAGTTTTGAAGCTGGAGACAGCGTCATCTTTTGTGTTTTCTTATTTTGTTTTATATTTTGTAACATCTACAGAACTTGCTCTTCAACATGTGTCCATGATATTCCGGTCTGAACCCAACTGGGATGTTGTGGAACCTTTTCCTGACATAGGTATGGCAAGCAAATGTCTCATTGGCTGAGTGTTGAAAAATCCATCTAAGTGTGGAGACTTGTGTAGCAATCTGCTCAGCCTTCCTTTGCATTCATTAATGCAATATGTTTTATGAGAATTTTAGATGCACTGTTTAGATTTTCTTATTCTAGCAATCATCATGTTGCTTTCTTTTATTATTCTATTTAGAAAGAGATATTATTCAGTCTCGACAAAGCTAAACAAAATCAGTTTTCACTCAGTGTCTGAGATAAATACTTTGAACTTTTCAGCATACGAATCAGATGAGTGATGTTGAAAGAGGTATAGAAGTCAAATAAGCTACTTGATAGTTTTACTGAATAATTTAGGCTTTTAAGAGACAAAAAGAATGTTGTAGTTTTATGATCTTTGCTCTCAGTGCTTCATGACTTGTGAGGTATTGTGTTTATTTTGTCCTCATATGTGTGTGCAGGTTGGAGAATACGGAAGCACTTCATACTCATCAAGCCCCTTGCTCAACCCAAAGTCAGACAAATGCTTTCATGGGTATTGCTGATTTTGTTTTTTGCTTTTAGTTCGTTTTTTTTTTTCTTATTAGAAATTGAAGAAGAGAAGGTTATGCTTGTTTTTTTTATCTTATTTGTTTTGTTCTCTTACACCCTTTTTGTAGTTTTAGCCTGGTATATGCCAAGGAGAAACAATTGCCTGTGATTAATGAATGGACTTTAACAGTGACCCTCAAGGCTGGGTGTATAGAATGGATAACAATGGGAAAGAGATCAGTAAGATACAGGAAGAGTTGTTACCTGTAATTCTATCTGCATGTATCTCACCATGTCTATGTTTTGTGTGGAGTCAGTGGAAGTTAAATTTCTCAGTTTTGAGACTCACCTGGGTACAGGGAGATGGCAAACATTTATTTAAAAATCTAAAATGAATAAGAGAAAATGTTATCTGACCATATCTTATCCTTCAAGGTCGACATTCTTTAAGGTATAGTGAATGTTTCAGCTAGTATAAAAGATATACATGCCTTTCCTTAACTGACATACATTCATCTCTGCTATTTTCTACAGATGGAGTTTGGACCTGACATGTACCTACCAGTAAAAGAACTGACAGCCATCATGAAAGTTCTTCCTATGATAAAGGCAAGTGAGATCAAAATTACATTAAAATCTCTCTAGTTTTACAATTAAGTTTTACTTTAGGTTTATTTTGCTTTGAAAGACAAAGATGTGCTTTTGTGATAGAAATTGATTGAATTTCTTTTTCCTTTTTTATTTTGATAGAAATTTTGGTCACTTTTGCGTCATATATATCATAATACTTTCTGATTTTTTTTACCCTGGAGTTTTGGAGCCATACAGGTGTCTTTTCATCGTTCTTCTCTCTTTTTTAGAGTTAAGCATTGGTCACTCTAAAAAGTGGACAAAAATTATCCTTTGTCCAAACTCACAGAAAATGATAATAAAAAATTAAAAAGGTTGTTTTCTTGTAAAAGGCTTTCTTACACCCAACTGATATTGATGATTCACTCACAAACTCTTTTGGTGTATTCACATTTATTTTGTTTTTGCCTTTTTATTACATTATTCAAAGTATTGTATTTTTTGCCTCATTTGATGATTTTTCATGTCACCCACAGCATCCCTACATATATCCATGCCACTTTACAGCAGCCAATGAGAATGGAGGGATGGTTATCAGGGATTACTATGAGCCCGGAACTTTGAGAGACTACCTGTGCAAATGTAAGCCCAAGGGCAATTATATGACCAAATATGGAAATCCAAAGAAACGGATGCCACTGGACATTGGCGCTGTGAAAACATTTGGGAGACAGATTTTGGAAGCTTTGAAGTTTTTACACGATAAAGGTTTCCCATATGGTGAGTAATCAAAAAAAAAAAAAAAAAAAAAAGAATTAATGTCATAGTTCTATTGGTTATGATACCTGTATGAGACTTCAATGGCAGGGAAAGAATAGCTTAATAGCTTAATCAAATATGAAAATGAGTATCTTTATGACTAAGTTGGGAAATTTTGCTTCCTCAAAGCTGGTACTTGAGCATAATTGTAATGATAACCAGCATGGGGGGGGGGGCGGGGAGTGGTTTTTCTGTTCTCCTTGCTTACTAAGGATGTGATTTCAATTTCTATGAATAGGAGACATATTATAATCTTTCTGCTTTGATGCTGCATCGTACTCGCCTAGGGTTGGCCCTGTTGGGCAGCGTTGAAGCAGTCCATCTCCTGAATTATCTTAAATTGTTTCAGTGGGGATGGGACGCGAAATATTGCAATTAAAATTAATTTCCCTGAAGCATGAACATGAATTTTCTATACCATAATAATATGCTTATGTGGATGCTACCCTTGACTTCTGTATATAGCTTCACTTATAGACAAAACGGGCATATTTTTGCTTGAAACGGAAATATGTGTAGCTCAAGTCAAATACTGCTGAATTAATATGTGACGTCTATAAGAGATGTTGACTTCTGTGTTCTCCCGTTAAATTTTTTTATTTTTCTCAATATATATCTTAAATTTGGTATCTTGTCCAGGTCACTTGCATGCTGGCAACATACTGGTCATCAATTCCTGCTGTCAACTCCTGGACATTGAGAACAGCATCATGGGTCTGCCAGGCTACTATAGGGCTTTCTATACGCAAGTCAAGAAAGTACAGGTAACATTTTTGTAATATTATCTTTGAATTTATCCCTCTCTCTGCCTCTTTCACCCTGGCATTAGGTAGGGGCTACCAAGAAGGGCTGTCCACCTATTTCTTTTCTTTTTCTTCTTTTTAATGAAGATGTTTTTTCACCCCATCAACACAATTTAGATGATAAAGGAGGTAGGCTTTCTGACCCTGCCCTTTAAAGGTCTTAAGACTGAATTGATGGTAAAGACAATCTTGTCATTTCAGTGTTGCTTATTGCTATGAGTTTATATAGATTTAGCTATAATGGTCCTTCTTTCTTCTTAGTTTAGACTTAATGTTTGCAGTGTGTAATCACTTTGTTTTTATTGACTTATGTAAATATGAATTAGATTTAGAACACAGACTTATTGAATTATTATAATAAAAATTACTTCATGCTTTGGAGATCTTACCTGCTAATATGCTTTTGTAGATAACACAACTTTTAGACTCACAATGAATCGAGAGGGGTATAACACAAAAGCTTCATTTTCACTGTACTTTTATGAATTGTGTTGACCCTCTCGTTTGAACTGCAGAGCCTGGAGACCATTGATGTTTACTGTTTTGGTCAAGTCCTCTACGAGATGTCCTTTGGCTCTCAGATCAACGCACCAACCTGTGATCAATTTCCCCCAGAGTGTCCCGCACAAATCAGTGAGTTTTGACAAGCTTGCCATCTTTCCCAAATTTCTTGGGATTTAGTTTAGTTAATTAAGAGTTTCACAGGGCTTGCAACTGCATAAGATCATATGTGAGGCATTGTGGTGAAAACAGGCGCTTGTCAGAATATTGAAATCAAAGAAACTGGCGTTTATTGGCCGTCTGGCAGGTTTCTTCAAATTTTCTTTTATTGACTACACTTTTTATGTTAATTTAAAAACGCATTTCTGTGTGGATTTTACTGAAAAACACTGATTAAAGGCACAAAAAAGGTAAATTATTAGTTTCCAAGGCCTCTTAACCTATGGAAGTTAATAAATTTGGCGGCCATTTTCTCGCTAATTTTGCCTCGAAAAAACACCCATCTATTTTGAATCGAAGTCGAGATATTTGTGATTGAAGGAGGTGGGGATCGCCTGGTATGAGAGGTAAAATTAGGGAGAAAATGGCCACCAAAGTCTGGTGACTCCCAAAGCTTGAATGTCCTTTCAAACTGAAAATTTCCTCTTCTTTTTTTTTTTGCCTTTAGTGAACGTTTTTCGTTAACATCAACTCAGATATGCATTTTAAAAGGACGTAAAAAGTGTTGAGCCAATGAAAAAAAAATTAAAAATTGCCCAATGCCCAGAAAAATGCCGGTTTCTTTCATTTCATTGTTTTGACGAGCGCCTGGTTTCAACAAGCTGCCTCATATATTATACATGTACTGTACCATACTTTCTTCTTGGTACAGAAATACAGTTGATGCTGTTATTGACAGGTGGAAGTCTTACTCTGTGAAATTATAATGTAAAAAAAAAAAACTCAAGGGAGGAAATAGGAAGAGGCTGTTTTGCAAAGTGATTTTCATATACAGGTGGCCATTAAAGCGGGTTGAACTGTATTCTTTCCTCATATTCTTTGTAATTTTTGTGGATGGTTGGTGGGTGCTCTAGTGTGGTTTGCTTTTTCTTTCCGATCAAACATCTATTGTCATTCATTATCTCTCCTCCTTTTTAAAAAAAAATGTTATTCTCTAATAATATCTTTAATTTTCAACCATTACATGGCCTCATTTGTGTTGCAGTGCCGTAAAACTCTCAGTAAAACAAAACTAAACTTTGTGTTTTTTCAGGATCGGTGTTGGAATCAATACTGACCACAGAAGCTTGTAAGAATGGTCTACCATCTGTGGCGGATCTTTTATCTCACCCGTAAGTTGTTTCTTTTAGAACTGAGCTTGACGCCTTTATGTGTTGAACCCTCTCCTTTCTAACTGGGCTGACATTGGCTGATTAAAATCTACATGGCATTGAGTTAACCTTCCTCCAACATTGCTTATTATCAAGCACTATTCAGAGTTTGTTTTTAACTCTGAATTTCTATATTGTTTTCAATGCTAGTGTGTGCGATATAACATTCAAAATACAAGCTTTTAAAACTTTGTACACATCAAATTGCATAATGATGATTATATGCCTAATTTATTAATTTGAATTGAAATGTGTTAAGAGTTTGCTGTTGAAGGGGGATATGTGCTTACAAATGATATTTGAAATAAATATTATTATTAGGCCTATTATTTATATGTGTCACGACTCATGACACTGTGGAATCCGGTGCTCGTCAATTTTTGGTCATGTGAAGTTATTGGTATCATCTTAAAGGTTGTTCATTTGTCTTGCTTTCAGTGAAAAAAATATCCAGCTTTCTTGAACACAACTAGAAATATTTGCGACTGAATGAGGTAGGGGTCGCCTGATTTCAGAAGTAAAATTAGTGGAAAATAGCGGCCAAAGTTTAGTTATTTCCTTAGCTTGAGAGTCCATGGAAACAGAAAATTTACATTTTTGTGTGCCTTTAATCAACATTTTAAAGTACTGTCCATACAGAAATGTGTTCTTTAATGGACATGAAATGTGTTGAGCCAGAAAACAAAAATTCAATAAAGATTACCAAATGTGCGAAAAAATATCAGTTTCCTCAGTTTCATTATTTTGACGAACGCCTGATTTCACCACGCTGCCTCACGTATTATTAGTTTAAATTGTCTGTGACGGCCATCCATTGTCGAGAAGAAAGTGAACGTCTTACACAGTGTCATTATAATGTTTACAAAGGCAAAGGGGAAATGGGAAGTGGCTGTGTGTACCACTGATTGTTTCATACCAGTTACTGCTTATGATTAACTCTTTGTCTCAGGAAGCCGCTCCCTGTGGCTTATGGTCGGAACTGCTGTGCCAGTGAGCCTTTGACAGCGGCTTGGGCGCATTCCTTTGTGACGACTTCAACGTCAAATCACTTTTTGGCAATTGCCAAAAACAGGTCTCTATTTCTGAGAGTTCATTCATTAGATGAAGAACTGTCAAAATAAGTTCACTTGTTTTGATTTAATGACCAATTTAGTGATGTACATCATTAGTGGGTTTACCCTCCTCGGAGATAAAGAGTTAATGTGCCTGTATTGTTCTTTCCTTGTCCTCAGCTTGTTCTGTGATGTGTCTCTCCCACCCCCCGTGGCAAAACCTGTACTAAAAATACCCAGTAAACTCAAAGAGTTTGTGAAAAGTGCCAAAGAGGAGATTGAAAGTCGACTGAAGAGTGACCAGAAACTGGTATGTCTGAGTTTGTGGTTGGCGGATGCTCTGGTGTGGTTTGCTCCTTCTTTCATATCAGACGTCTATTGTCCTTATCTCCCCTCCTTTTTTGTATTTTTACTTACTCTCTTGTAACACCTATAATCTTCGGCACTTATACGGCCTATTTGTGTTGTGTGTGCCGTCTTTCCTTTCAAACATTTATCGTCCATATCTCTCTTCCTTTTTTTTGTATATTACTATTGTAGGGAAATTGTGTTGCAAGCTCCATAAAAATCTTGTTAAAATGAAAACTAAGAGCTTTAAGGTGCTGGACTTCTCGTTCAGTGGAAGGATATGCACACCCTCATTGAGTCCCTAATCACAATTAACTCTCTACTTTTATTCTTTGACAGTATTTTTATACATCTTTGTTTCAGTCTTTATTGAGAGAAATTTAGGCTCTCAGCTCTTTTGGCTCGGTATTATCTAAGATCGACGCTAAATTGAGAGGTCCCGTCTCCAAAATAACCTTGTTGCTGATAAAGGGGCGTTGAACCAATAAATGGTCTCTGACAAAAGCTGGTCACTTCTTTGACAGAGGATCTCATTCAAGGCATACATGCTGACCTCTTCTATCAGTCTCAAATGAAATCATGAACCCGTTATCAGTCTTCAGTGTTGAGCAACTCGCGTTTTGGGTGGAAGGTAGACAGTGAAATAATGTGCAGCACGTTTAATAACCCTTAGTGTTGACTGTGTCTATCAGTGCCAGTCACGACTTCAGCAAAGGGTTTGATTTCTTTCTGGAGTGAATGACCTATGCTATCAGATTCAAGTGCTCTTGATTGTCTGATATCAGTATTTCGTAATGAATGCTTTCCGCTTCCCCAAATGGATGTCCGGGTCATTTCCTCAAGTTTTTGTTTCTAGTAGTGGTTTAATTGGGCACTTCGCCATCGCACGCAGAAGACCTGAGTTCAATTCCTGTATTGGGAGAATTTTTCTAGAGTATCTCGGTCTTGCTGCTGAAACATTATATCCCTCTCAGTCGGGGTTGGCCGTGATAGGCAAGGTCAATGCCCGCTTCTGTGTGTGCTGGCGCGCCCTTACTCAGTTGGTATCTGTGTGGTGCAGATTACCTTGGTTCAAACCCTGAATGTGGTTGGTTGGTGGCTGCTGTTGTAAGGTTTGCTCCTTCTTTCTTTTCAAACATCTATCACTTTCTTTGTATGTTGCTCTCTAGTTACACCTCTGATTTTCAACACTCATATGACCTATCTGTGTTGCAAGTGCTGTAAAACTTTTACTGAAACTTAGCTAAACTAAGACTGTTGTCACCCTCCCTGTACATTGTGCTTTCTTTGTACCTCTGTCTCTGCATGTGGTGTTCTGCTCTTAAATTAATTCACACAAGTTAGACAGCACAAGAACTTTGTTGTTTCTTCCACAGTCTCTTCGTGAGGTTCAGAATGAGGTTTGAATTTAACCTTGCTCTGCTCAAAGTATTTTTCATGTGTGGTAGGTGGGTGCTCTGGTATAATTTGATCCTTCTTTTCTATCAAACGTCTATCATCCTTTCCTCTCTTTCTTCTTTTTTCTGTTTGTTTGTCTCCTATAACACCTCTAATCCTCAGCACTTTTATGACCTTAATGGACATACAGTAAATGAAAAGGGCTATTTTACGGTTACTGACGGGACAAATGAGGTATTTTTTCTGTCCCATAAGTTACCAAAGCTAAACTGTTCACAGAATTTGCATAAAGTACTTTTTTTTTCAAATGACTGCATTTAATATGATTCTTTATATGTCTTTTAAATGTTCTGATCCTGTAAAGTTGAAATTGCTGTGGTGTGGTTTGCTTCTTCTTTCCTATCAAACATCTGTCGTCCTTATCTCCCCTTCTTCTTTTTTATGTTTGTTACTCTATTGTAACCTCTAATCTTCTGGCATTCATGCGACCTTATGCAGTTGCGAGCACCGCAAAACCTCTACTAAAACAACAAAATTGAAATAGATTAATTGATATTGAATTACAGTGTTACCACTGAAAGAAAGTGTCGTCCAAATGTCCTGTCAGTTACTGTGGAGTAGCCCAAAATCTAAGTGGATGCCCGGCACTAGTGCATGACTGTGCTATATGACTTGCTGTGTGTTGTCGCGACACGCTCAGATTTGTTTTTTTGTTGGTTAACAAAAGGTTATTAATACGAAAAGAAAAGATTAATTATGAGAGGAAGACCAAGACGTGGGTGGTTGGAGGGCGCCACTGGTAGGTCCTACTTCTTTACTTTCCCTCTGTTGTTTCTGTCTGTCTGTCTTACTCTTCCCCAGCGCTAAATAACCTTTTTTGTGTTGATGTGCTTATCTTTACCCAAACGAACAAACGAACAAATAAACAAACAAAACCAAGACAAATTTCTTCCTATGAGATGGATAAAGATTGTCATTGTAAAGTAACATTTTTCTCTCTATATATACTCTTTACAGCTGAAGCAAGTTCTCAGAATATCCAAAGCCAAAGAGTTCCACATGTCAGAAGAGGAAAAGAAGAAGCGAAGGAAGTCACGAAAGGTACAGTGCTTTCAGCAATATGCACTGGCTGAAAAATACTCATGTCGGTGGTTTGTGGGCGCTCTGGTGTAGTTTGCTCCTTCTTTCCTATAAAATATCTCTATCCTCCTAATCTTTCCTTCTTAGTTTTTGTGTACTTGTATGATACACTCAAGTAACACCTCCAATCTTCAGCACTTGTATGACCAATTTGTGTTGCAAGTGCCTCAAAACTTACAAATATTAAAAAAACACAAGCATCTTGTTCCTTTTTGACGCAATCTGTCAGCATCTGACTGTTTTTGTGCATACGTCAAATTTGGTTAAATACCTTTTTTTGGGTCTCAAATTACATTATTTAGAACCACGATTACAATTAGTGATACTTTTAAAAGGTGAAAAAAACATTCCTCACCATATTTTGGGCAGTCCTGTTACATAATAAGAAAGAATTTTTTTCCCACTTTTCTGAAAATCATTTTGTAGGGAGAACTGTAAAACTCTTATGGACGTTTATGATATACTGTACAAATCATTGGGACTTGTTTTTTTCGTCTATTTTTAATTTTATTTTAAATTGGGTTTTTTTTTGGGGGGGGGGGGAGAGGAAGGCACTAGTAGGTCCTACATCTGTACTATCTTTTGTTGTCCCTGTCAGCCTTCTCTGCTTTTTCCCGGCACTAGGTGAACAATTTGCCGATTCACATCGGTACAAAGTTTGAGTTTCGCTTTGTTTTTACTCTGATGTGCATATTATCATCCATTGTGCTGTGATAGTCTAAATGTCTGCTTATGTGGAAGAGTTATTTTTAATACCACATGGGCGCACGATTGTGCACATGTATTTTGTGCTTAATAGAAGTGATTGTAAAGTGCCAAGAGCTGTATTGTACAGGAGTGGCCGCTTTAGAAATTATCTGTATTATTATTATTTATTACATAGCTGCCGACCAGTATGTGATAAAACATATTTAATATGTGTTTTGGGATTGACTACAGAAGTCCGTTTTCATATAAGAAAATATGTATTCTCTGTATTGTAGTACTGCTCCTTATGGATTTGCAAATGCTGAAGAAAAGTTATGAATTTCAAAACCAGATTTGCGTATTACAACGAGAATGAAACTCAAAAGTAAATTGGAAAGATCTTTTTAGGCATGTGTGCTCTGAATAACTTGATTTATTGTATGCAGAAAACTGTGTGTAAAGGGGTTTGGGGGGGGGGGTGGCTGTTATTGGCCAATGCTCACCACCTGTATCCATCACGTGGGTAGAGTGTTTTGTTTTGGAAAAGTTGCTGTTACTTTATTGCAGTTGAACCCGCACTTACGGCTGCCCCATGAGAAATAACCTGTATAAACGGCCACTTTCCATTTCCTCCCTTGCGTTTTTTTTTTCATTATAATGATATTGTTTGGGTGGTTGGTTGGTCCATTGGTGTGGTTTGCTTCTTCTTTCCTATCAAACATCTATCATTTTTATCTCTTCTTCTTCTTTTTTGTGTTTGTTAAATTCTTGTGACACCTCTAATCTTTGGCACTTTTATGAGTTTAATGTTTTGCAAGTTCCATAAAGCTCTTTTTAGTTTTAGTAGAGGTTTTTCGGCGCTCACCACTGCATAAGGTCATATGAGCAACAAGGGGTGGATGTCAACAGGGAAGCCCTTACAGGGAATCAGACTTACTCTGCTCACCTCTCTAGCTTCAACAGCGCAAAGTCTGCTTCTACTATCAAGGCACCCCGGAAATAGCGGGTCACAAGAGTGTGACAAACATACAAAAGAAGTTGAGGAAAATGACGATAGTAAGGATTAGGGAGAAAAAAAGCAGCAGTTCCTTGTTGTCGTTCAGGCACAGTGACAGTTATGAGCATTGCATTTTTTTTATCAGCCCATTTACAATTCTACTGTGCGTTAGAATGAGAAATGTCCCCCTTTTGGGAATGGGCTAAAGACACTTCAGTCAGTGGCGCCGCCCTGGGGGGTGTAAATCTCTTTCTAAAAGTAAAACTAATGACGTTGTATAAGATTTACACCTGTTTAAGACGATTGCTTTTCTCCTCGACAATGAGGGGCAATGATCTTCGGCAATTTTGACTGTATTATTGAAATTTGTTACTCACTTGCTATATTTTCTAGAAAGCCCTGGAGAACGGAGTGTCTGACTCAGCGTCTAGCACCTCGGGAACACCAGCGGAGGCACCAGTGACACCAGCGCCTGGAGGTAACCATTTTCTTTCCGATCTTTTCCTCGCTTTGTTAGATTTCTATTTTTATAGCCAGTTCATATCTAAAGCAATTCTTTTGATGACTGTAAGTGGTGTTGGTACTTAAATCAATCTATAACCAGTTCATACTAAAGGAATTTAGTTATTTTGCTGTTTGTACTTTTTTTTTATAACCAGTTCATACTAAAGGCAATTCTTTTGATGTCTGTAACTATGTAGAAGAGGAAGGTGTATTTTGGTGTTCCTGAAAACTAATACAATTAATACAGTTATTATATAATTGCTTTTGTTTGGTTCTGTAATATTTTGTGAAGTAATGTGCTTCCGTGTTTTTTCCTCCTTCCACCCTTGTTTTTGCCGTTGGAGATTTTTTCAGGCCTTTAAGTATAAGATAACAGGTGAACCTGCTTTTTACATTGCTTCCTTGTAGAATCTACTAAAACTTCTGCTGTTTATGTTTTGCAAAGTAATAAATAATGAGATGAGAAACATCATGTGGGAAAAAAAGATGGGAGGTAAAGTGGTTTTTGCGTTCCCTGTAGATTAATGCCTCCGACTAACTGGATTTTTTCCTCTAGTGCACAAATTGTTATTGCATGGCATTCTTTTTTTTTTTTGTAACTACCCTATCCTTTCTTTGAGATATTAAATGAAAAAACTTTTTTTTTCAAAAGACCGGCTATGAACTTTTTCCATATTTTCTCTCCGGTCTCTCTCATTGTGCCTTTGTACTTTATAATCTGTAGCCTATTGGTCTGGAGTGTCATTTCTCATAAGCAAGTTTTGTCGGGCAGTTGAACATAAATAGACGAATCTTTGTCAACATTTATATGAGGTCGAGTGTGATTTTGTGGTTTTGTGCAGTTGTGGTTTGTTTGTTTTTGTAGCTGTGTTCTTTTTAGATTTATATACGTGTATGTATATATTTATACATATATATTTTTGCTTTTCTTTATGTGTGTTTGTGTGTTTTTAAATGAGGAGGATCATTTGCTTTGGAATAGGTCGCTTTGTGTGTGTGTGTGTGTGTGTGTGTGTGTGTGTGTGTGTGTGTACTTCTGGTTTTAGGCCATGATTTTTCCAGTACAAAAATGAGTGTGACGGACCCTGATTTTCTGAATCAGTATTTCCAGAGATCATAACATACAGGCCCACTCCTCCTTAGTAGAGGGTGCACCTCGCCTAATGAGATGAATGTCTTAAAAATCCTTGCTCAAGTGTACGAGAGCGATGTCAACTGTGGAGTTGACTTAAAGTGAACATAATTAATCCGAAAGCAGCGGTAAACCAAAATAAGATAAAATCCTTGATTTGTTTTCTTCTATTTGAGGAGCATCTGTAAAACAAAAACCCAGCTAAACTGAGGAAATTCAGTGGCCTCTTAGATTTCAGTTTAAAGGAGACTACTATGTCTTTAGATATTACCCTTGCCTTCTCCCCCCCTTCCCGTTTCTTTCTTCTTTTATCATAACTTTCAAATATCCGGTTAACATTATCTGATGTTATTTACCCATAGTATATTGTGGACTTGATTTTTGAAACACGGTTATGGATTTGTGTGAATGGTGTCTGTGGTGGAAAGGTTAGACTCTTTCCTGTCACATACAAAAGAGATGAGTTTGAATCCCTCGTGCAGGAATTCGTTTAATTGGTTGTCTTTGGCTTTGTGCTGGGATACTTGAAGAGCAATATCTCTATCCATCTCAGTCCTGGGTTGGTCCTGACAGACAGAGTTGACTTGAAGCAGCCTGTCTCCTAAATTGTTTAAACTGTGTGAATGGGGATGTAAAGAAACAAACATTTTCACTCGTTTCAGGATTTAGGTATTGTGTTTTAGTAGTTTGTTTTTTCTCAGCTATTTCTGCCAAGCAGAGGTGCCAATTTTCAGGATAAATATGGATTTGTGAAGTTGTCAGGATTTTGCCAGACTTCTTAGAACAAGATGTGTTTGACAATATTATGATCCATGAAATCTTGAGTCCTTTTTCATATGTTACCGTGGGGTCGAAAAGTTCAGGATTTTTTTTCGCAGTCAATTGGCACCTCTCTGTCGAAGTGTTGAGTGCACAATATAAGGTGTATGAAGATGTCTTTCCTGGCTTTTTTTGTCTCTATCAGTTTGTTTCTCTCAGCTCTTTGCTTTTGCCCTCTTCTGCTTCCAGAAACACGTTATGAATGTATACAACATGCTGTTAACCCTGATTGTTGTTATACTGTCCCATAGCTGCCAACTAGTATGTAAAAACGTATTCAGTATTTTTTTTGAGGGTCCTAGTTTGAAAGTCTGTTTTCTTTTGGAAAAATAGAAGAAAAAAACCCAACATATTCTCAGTTTTCAAGGATTGCCCGTCACTGACTCTCTGATGCTGAAGAAAAATTACGAACTTTCAAGACTGTGTTTGCATATGATATTGAGAACAAATTCCGTTTGTCAGTTGAAGAGATCTTTAGCTACAGATCTACTTTGAATAGTTTGGATCTATTGAATGGAGAAAAGTGTGCGTGAAGGATGTGGAGGAGGGTCACATGGCCAATGCAACCATCTTGACATGCTGCTTGGGTATAGTCAGGGTTTTTTGCTTTTTGGGGGGTTTTGAAAAGTTGGCAGCTATGCTTCTATCACATTGACTGTTTATTACTTGTTCTATATTATGCACACAGTGAGAATTTGTACCGTATTTCATTACAAGTGACACACCAGAAATTCTATCATATGTTGATATGAATTGGTTGAACATTTGTAACATAGAAACATGATTATTTCCATCGTCCATCTCTTGGATACAGCATCGAGTTGAGGTCTCTTCTGTCGTGACACCCCAACCTCGACAGTGATCCCCCTTGGTCATTAGGTACACATTATTTCCCTTAACTCATGTTCTTCATTAACTTTGTTGTCTCTGATCGTAATACTGGTCTTTTGTTTCCAGCTTTCCACATATTCATTCTGCATGACTTGTAGCTTCTTTTTCTCTTTTGATCTAATGAGCTGTACCGGGTACAGTTCAAGGTTCCGTTTTATCCCTTTAAAAAAATTCTTGCAGAAGGAATACAAATATTTTTGTGTGTCTCCAGACACATCTATTCTCTGCACAAGCTAAATGCATGCGTCAGTGTCTCATGATTTGAAAATGGCACAGATATACAATAAATGTATTTTGTTCTACATGCCCTTATTCCAAATGCAAAATTATTATGCTTATGCTTGCACCTTTTAGAAGGTCAAGAATGTTCAAGATTAAAACATTTTTGATCTGGTGCGCTGTTCACATTATTAAAGAGTCTAGCTAAATTGTATCTGCGTGATAAAGAACACCAGTTTAGCAAGCTTCTGTATATAGTTATGTGTGGTCCAGTTATCAGGGAAGAAATGGTAGGAAAAAGAAAAGAAAATATTAACAAATCTGTAAAGAGGTCTGAAAATGTATGTTTACTGGAATTATACCTGGGAACTGAAGAGAAAGAATTGGCTCTACCATGGATCTGTTTTGATGTACTAGAATTACTTCCTTTGTCTTGATGATATGGCGACAAGTTCCTGTGTCCTAGATCATTTCGCATAAAAAATCTGTACTATTGATATTTGTCCTTTTTCATCAAGGTACCATTGTTTTATATGGAAAAGATATGTGCATCATTTTGCATAGCATCAAATTTAATTCCCCAGCTTATTTCACTGTGGACTGAAGTAGGTTGTTAAGTTTATAGTAATGCAATACATCGCAAGGAAAAAAAGGTGAAGGAATTTTTTGTCACATCATGAAAACTTTCAGTAAAATTCTGTCTCTTGCAGATTGAATTATTTAGTCATATCTTGGAGAAGATTAACAGGTCTTTTCTTTAGAAATGCTAGTGGTTCTATGGGATAGCTAATCATATACCTTTCCTTGGTACTATTTTCTCTTTACTGGAGATGTGTTTATGTGTGGGCTGTGTGTGTCTATTTGTTTAAGTGTGTGTGTGTAACTATGTGCCATTTTGAAAGGGTGAGCACAGGTGGAGAGCTTTTTTCCCCCGTCTGCAACAGACGACACAAAAGGACAATATTTTTGTTTAAAATGAGGCTTTTTCAATCAAGGAATTACTATTGTTTACCGTTTGAATAAAGTCAACCAGATCTATAACTACATGGAATAAGTTCGATGACTTTGGAATGTGTTCTTGTTAGTGTGTTGTTTTTTATTGCCACGTAATGTAAGTTTCTTTTACAAGTTTTATTCATGAATACAAACCCACGTAAACACTCAAAGGGTACTTAAATGAAAAACGGGAGCCAGTATGCTTTAGAAAACACTGTTGTTACTTAAGGCTCTCGGACTCTCAACCCAAAGGTCTTGGGTTTGAAACTCGTCAGGGGCCCAACATTGTGTTCTTAGGAAAGGTACTTTACATGAAAATTCCTCATTTCATCTGGGTGGGAATGAGTACCAGGCTATACACTGCAAAAAATCTTGTCAGTTTGTTAGTGTTTAAGTGCTTAATTGGCTGCTTGCACTCTATGCTTCCCAGGAAGCTGAGAATGTTTCTGAGTCCCGTCCTTGGGTCAGTTGGGGGTGATGATAAAGCACATAGAGCATACTGTAGAGCGTGGGTATGTGCTATATAAATGCAATTGCTATTATTATTATTATTATTATTATTATTATTATTATTATTATCTTTATTATTTCAATTTGTCCCTATTAAGTCAAGAACATTGAAAGCACAGATTTGAAAAATAAATATTGAAGGTATCGTCAGATTACAAGGAACAGAGAATTATTATAATTATTATCTTTACTAATCTGCCGAGATTTGTCTGTTCGTAAAGCGTGGATGAAAAGGTTGTTTCAGCTATAGTTTCAGTCCTTGTACATAATGAATCTATCTATTCAGCTCTGTCTTGAGGGAAGAGGGTCAATCCTTTGTACTGGACAAAAATAAACAAGACCAAACTCCTGTGCTTTGTGTTGTTTACACTTTTGGTGATGGAATGCACCGTTCACGGGAGCTTGCCCCCACTTACGTATTCTTACGTATTACAAATTTCTCTGCTGACTATTATGATGCTAGAAATCTGTTTTGTAGAATCCACCCTTCTATTTCTTGATTTCTCCAAAGGTGGTGAGTGTTTTCTTGCCAAGAGTAGCTTATGTGCAGTTGCCCCTTACTTACTTTTGCCAGTCACATTTATCTCTAACAGTGCCCTGGTTGTATAATGTAGATATGTCACCATGTGTAGAGATGGTCAATTTACATATATGGGATTCGCTAAGCATTTGTTTTGAATTCGGTATCCTATACTTAGAAGTTAAAACTTAAAAGTATTATGATATCAGTATTTTGCAGTCACTTGAATTGACTCTCATTTATGGGTTTTACCCTAAAGTGAGATGCAGATTTTGATAGTAGTGGAAGAAATAGGAAAGGAGAGATTAACTTATTATGTTTATTATGTAGGTAAAATCTATACTTTTGGTATGTGTAATATTATTTAGGTTTGAGCTCTAGTTGTTTCAAAGAGCTATGGACTTCATGAATGTGCCTTTATTTTGTCAGACATTTTTATGTTGTGCTGATTAATGTTTGTGATTAATTCTTGGTGTTTGTTCCTTCAGTTTACCTCAAATCTTTTTTTATCCCCAAATTTTTTGGTCGTAAGTAGGTTTTGTATTTTTGTTGAATTTTCAGAATACACGGAGTTGAAAATAATGAAAATGATTAAAAGCAATAATGAAGATAACTTTAGTTAACATCATATTGCATGTGTAGGATGTATTTAAAATGTTTGCAGGGCACAAGTACTTAATTCAGCTTAAATCTTAGATGAAGTTGGTATTCTTAGTTATTAAAAAGTTTTTGTATTTTTTCTCTCTTGTCATGTGGAGCTGAACACTCCATTGATCGTTGTGACTGAATGTCGAGTGTGGTATGTTGTTTGCACACTAAGTTTATACATGTAGTTAGTTATCTGTTTTTGAAAGGAAATGAAAATGAAAGTCTCAGCAAGTGTATGTTGTGGGGGTTTTTTAAATGGGGGGAGGGGGAGGGTTATTTTGTCGACGTGCTTCTCCTTTTTCTAACAACAATAGATCAACGGCTATCATTTAAAGAGAAACAGTATAGAAATGATAAGTTGCATGTAATCTGTCTTGTACATAGGTGTTTGTGTGTGTGTAAGATGAGTTTAATACTAAGACACACGCTTATACCTTCCTTGATTCCAAACGCATTGATGATTTGCCAATGTCTCTCCTTTGGAGTATATTATGAAAAAGTCAAAATCAAAGGATGGGAAGTAGTACTTGGACAATCTACTTCCTATGTGTCTTCCACTCAGGCAAAACTGTATCCTGTCTACTTTAAAATCGTCTGTCAAGATGCAGAAGGCCATAGATATATAGATTTATAGAAGTAAACAGTGGTTACATCTTGCATTCATTATCATGGGTGCTTGGTGGGTGCTTCAGTGTAGTTCGCTACTTCTTTCCCATCAAACGTCTATCGTCCTTATCTCTCTTCCTTTTTTTGTGTTTGTTACTCTCTTGTGATACCTCTAATCTTCAGCACTTGTATGACCTAATTGTGTTGCAAGTGTCATAAAACTCTTACTAAAATAAACAAAATCGTTCTCCTGTTGTACGTAGGGTTACTTGGCAATCTGACTGAAGGTGGAAGGTTTTGCATCAGAGTGGTGAAGTGGACGCCTGTGGTTGCATGTCTCAAACGTGGCTTATTGGCTTTTGTTTTTACCTATGTTATTTATTTTATGTGTGTTTGTGTATGTTTGTGTTAGTGTGTACATGCTTGTGTGTACATCTGTGTTTTGTTCAGTGGGGTGGATGAACTAGTTCCACTCGATTAATTTATCTCCGTAGGTCCGGTCCATGTCATTTTGTTTCCTGTCTTAGATGAATTTTGTTTTTCTATATATTGGTTCTAATTGTTTATTTATTAAGCTTTAGAATTGTTTGAAATCACATGTTTTCTCACATAAATTTTTATTTTTGTTAATTTTATTTTATTTTTCCTTTTGTGGAGACATAATACTTAATGTATGGTTGGAGGGCATTTACTTTTTCTTTCCTTGTTTGTTTTTGTCTGTCCGTCTTGCTTTTTTCTTGTAGCACAATACGGCTGTTATTGCGTCACTTTGCTTCTCTTTGCTGAAAACCCCCCCCCCAACTTAAACAATCAAGTAGAATCATATCATTTTCTTTGCACATTCCAAAAATGAAAAAGTTGGGAAAACTCATACTGATAAATATCTTACTTTTATGTTAAATATCTTTATTGAAAGAATGTTTTGTAGGTTTCAAGAATTTCATCCTGTACATATTTATAAAAATTATAATCTTTTTCTGTCTTCTTAAATATTTTGTTATCTATCTTTTGGTGACCTTATTGTGTTGCAAGTGCCGTATAGTTCATACTAAAATTAAATTAAATTATATTTTGGTCGGGGGGGGGGGGGGGGGGAGACACTGTGGTGTGGTTTGCTCCTACTTTCCCATCAAACTTTTACCTTCTTTTCTCTTCTTTTAAAAAAAAATTGTTGTATGTTAATGTCACTCCAGTTTGTTTCACTTTTATTACCTATTTGTGTTGCAAGTACTGTATAGCTCTTTGAAAAACTAAATTTTAAAAAAAGCAAAACTATATCAAAGAGTGTTTATTATAGATACGAAGATATTTTTCACTCTTTTTGCCTAACAAGTTTGTCTATTTTATGTGGTGCTAACTGGGGTTTTTTTTTTTTTACATTATCAGCCACCTGTTCATGTGTACAAAACCCAAACTTTTACAAATTATTGTCAATGCTGTTTCTGAATCTGTGGTATTGGCTACTGGTGCTCAAGAAATATTTTGTCAAAATTCAAATTTTATGTGTTGAAAAAAAAAAAAAAGCAAAAAAATAAGATAATGAATGTAGGTATCATTCTAATTGTCCAAAGAATGAAACCGTTTCTATTGCCCTGGTATGTCTTAGAGGAGTGAAAAAAAGTCACATGGGTGGTTGGTGGGTGCTCTGGTGTGGTTTTTCTCCTTCTCTTTCTTATCAAACATCTATCACCTTTATTTCTCATCCTCATTTTTTTTTTTTGGGGGGGGGGGGGGGGGGGGTTGTTACTAAGTCTCTTGAAAAACCTCTAATCTTCAGCACTTATATGACCTAATTGTTTTGCAAGTGCCCATACATTCTTACTAAAACAAAAGCATCCCACTATGAATGTTTATTGATCCAGAGATGGTTTCCTGTACGCTCATTAATCCAGTCTGTTAGTTCAAGTAAGAGTTTTATGGCACTTGCAACACAATTAGGTCATGTAAGTGCCGAAGATTAGAGGTGATACTAGAGTCTCCTTTAAGAATATTTACATGAAGGCACTTAATTGCATGTTTA